ATCGGTGTTTCATTGAGCGTTATTGCTAAGTCAAAGCTGGTGCCCGACCCAGTGCACCACCCAGATACCTGCATAGCAATAAGGCTGAGATCCCTGGGCAGGAGGCGTTCACTCAGGGCAGGGTGAAGAGAGAAGGAGCCTCTTGAGAGCAGGTCCCTGGGAGAAGCCAAGATATCTCCTGGGGAGAGAGAGGGACAGGCATTGGTGGGCAGTGGGCACAGGGGCTCTGCGTAGGGCCGAAGGAGAGAGTTGGGGGAAGGAGGAGGTGGCCTTGGAGGTGGGGCACCCTAAGACTGAGGAGTGAACCCAAACCTCCAAGTGACGCCAGGCTTGGCGGTCCCTGAGAGCAGAAGCCAAGCCATAACGGGTCCGGAGTGAGTGCGGCAGAAGGTGGAGGCCTCTCTGTGCACAAAGTTGGCTTTCAGAGGAAGATGAACGTTGAAAAAGAGGTCACGGGAGGTAAGGGGAATTTCTGAATTTACTTTTTCAGTTTTGGGGCCGGATTGTTTGGCTTAGGATGATGAGGCGAGTGAGTACTTGTAGGAAAACAGAGGAATTGGTTGAAAAGGAGAAACAATAATACAGAGCAGAGAGGATTCTCCCCAAAGCACTTGTCACACCGGATGGTGTGTGCACTTCGTTGGTGTCTGTGTGGTGTTTGCCCCTGTGCCCAGCGTGGTGGACACTAGGTCAATATTTTTTGTGCTGAATTGAATTTGCAGGGCCCCTCAGGGAGCTCGGTGGTTAGGTCCCAAGGAGAGAAGTTCTCACAGGGACCCACAGGAGGCCCCTCTCTGCTGCTGCCAGGACAGGAGGAAGGAGACAAAGTCAGCAGTGAGGAGAGGCCACGGTTCACCCCCAGTCTTCCCAGAAAAATGTGGGGCACGGGCTGAGGAAATGGGAAGTGGAGAATGGAGAGTAGTAGTAGCTCCCTGTGTCCTGTGAGAACCCTGCAGAAGGTTAGTGATCACTTCCTTATTGGCATTGTTCTGCACTTACTACTGCTCTGTGTGTTATAGACTCAGAGCATTAATTCACTGAATGCTAACAGCTCGGAGGCAGGAGAATTACCATCAGCCCTAAAGTGATGAGTTAGCAGTGGGGGAGCTAGGATTTGAACACGGGACTCAGGGCCTGTGATGTTACCCACTGAGGCACATGTTTCCCTAACCCACGTTATTGTACATGCTTTAGTTTCTATAGCATCTTCTCACCAGGAGCTTCTCATCATGCTAGAGAGGAGATGGCCTTTTTTTCATGTTTCACATGAGAAAACAGAGAAGTATAGTGACTTATCCAGGGTCACACAGCTAAGTTGCTGAGCTGGGATGGCAGCTTGCAGCTCTCTATCCACAGGCCCAGTAATTTCCTGATTCAACAGCGACTTAGACCAGAAGGGCCAGCTGGACACGGGGAGGTAACATTTTACAGTACCTCCAGAGGGGGTTTGTAAGCTTCAGAGAAAGCTGGAGCTGGCAGGTTGGGAAAAACAGGAAGAGGATGCGGAAGGCGAGTGCTACCTGGCTCTCATGGCTGTCCCTGGGTTGAGGCTGAGAGACACAGAATGAAACAGAAGCAGGCACAGAGTAGAAAACCACAGGAGCCATGGCACAGGGGCTCGTCCAAGACCTGCTGTGGGGCAGGAAGGGAGGCCGTGCCAGCGAGGGGGTTCTAGGCCTCTGTTCCTGGTGAACAGCCCTGGACCATGGGTGGCCTAAGCCAGACCCTCCTGGGTGACTGTCCTCACAGCCACAGGACCGTGACCTGCTGCAGGAAATAGCTGCTTCTGAATACAGGGGGGAAAAGAATCCCTAAGGGTCTCAGGATCAGGGAGAGTCGATTTCCTATGCCAGTTACCAGGAATCTTGGAGCCACTCCAGGCAAGAGTGTGGGAGGCAGACACAGGTCCTTAAAAGCAGGCGGGCCAGCCACTGCCTCTTCCCAGGCCTGAGGACCCAGAAGGCTCACTGGTAAGAATCCCAGTCTCAGGGCTGTCTTTACCCGGGAGGGGGTGTGGGGAGCAAGGCTGGAGAGGCTGTGGGGAGCCCCCTGGCCGCTGGGTGGGGAGAGCGGGGACTGGAGAGCGGCAGGCCTCTCTGACTCCTTCATTACTTTCCGGGAAGGCTCAGTGACCATCTGTTATGGCGGGGCTGGGGCTGCTGGCTCTTTTCAGCCCAGGGACATGAACTGGACATCCTGGAAGCAAGGGGTCTCCTCCGTGTGGGCTTGGAGGCCCTGCGCCCCCTGTGCCCAGGCTGCTTCTGTCCTCCGGGTCTGTCTTTGTGTTTCTGTCAGTCTGTCTCTGAGCTCTCCACCTCTCCTCACGGCGGCCACCGCTCCACTCTGGAATTATCTTGCGGTTGCTCCTGCTCCTCTCTGCGGTCGTTTGATAAGAATAGCCAGGCCACATCCTCCTCCTGGGAGGCTGCTCTGGACCCCAGCAATGGTCTGGGATCCCGGGCAGCTATTTCTGATGCCTCCTCCACTGGTTTATGAAACTTATCCTGCTCTTTCTGACCTGTGTGCAGGGGCCTCTGGCAGCAGCCCAGGGAGCTCTGCATGTGCCTGAGTGGTGGTTTATTCAGGTTGGGTGGGCCGGTAGATCGGCAAATGATTGCCATTTAAGGGTGTGCTACTTACAGTTCCCAGGAGAAGGGGGCCTGAAACACTACCCAGGGCCCCATGGGGCAGGGACAGCGTGGGGCAGGATGCAGAAGAGGGGAGCAGAACAGGCAGCCGAGAGCCTTTCTTGTGACATGTGATTGAAAGGCACAGGGGGACAGGGAGCTCTGGAGTGGATAGTCTGAATCATTTCTGCTATCCAGGCTTCCCTAGTTATCCTGAATCTGGCCCCGGGGGTTGAGAGCTCAGGGCACCACCTGGCATGGGAGAGTTGAATGAGCTAGAGTGGGAGAAAGGCTTTGCATTGGTTGATTTGCCCAGGGAAGGCATATTCCCAGAGGAGTCATCTGAGGTCTCGGGCTTAGCGAACCCCAGGAAGGGCAGTCTCTTTCTGGTTGGCAAGGTTCCCAAGCTGTTCGAGCATTATCGAAGACAAAAGTACAAACATATTTAATGCCCAGGAGTGGCTCAGAGGCAGTGGGGTAGTCAGTCAAAGGAGATACACAGGGCTGGGCCAAACCTGTGGGAAATTCATTTCACCTGCGTGAGCTGCAATTTGCCGAATCTGTAACCCCATAACTGTTATTCATTCATTCATGCAAGGGAGCCAATGACAGGCTCAACATTATCAGCCTGTCAAGGTCATTGGAAGTGTAAAAGAAACAGTGGACAGTACCTGGCACCTTGGAGGTAGTCAGCCAGTGGTAGCTGGCATCTTTGCCCTGTGACACCTCCGGGAAGTAACAGAGAAAGATTGATGTGGGCAGTGGGGTCTAAGATCCTTTTCCTTGGCTGTTTAGAGCAAGAGCTGTGGGTGGACAGAATCCTCAGGAATGTTCTTGGAACTCAGAGGAGCTGCTGGACAAAGGCCAGTGCAGGAGCTCCAGGGAGTGTGAAGCTGTGTGCCTTGGGAGGTGCCAGGGGCTCAGGCAGGGCACTGGCACGAGGGACCCCTCAGCTGGGGGATGTGGAGACTGCACGGCACCAAAGGGGAAGTCCTGGCAGCCCACAGGACAACTGAGAAGCTGTGGATAAACGGGGACTTTGGGATGCTAGAGGGGAACAGAAGCCGCCGCTGGTATGGAATCCCTAAGGGGCCAAATTAGAGCCAGGTAGCAGCCTGCAGCACATTTCCTCTAGTTATTGGCTGTGATTGCTTGTGGTCTCCAGACCAGTGGCGGGTGTTTTTGCCAAAGACAGATTCTCAGGAGGGAAGGAACCCAGCCCTGGTGGAGAAATTTGTCGCTCTGGTGGGGAAGGTTCCCGGGTATGGCAAAGGGAGCAAGGCCTGGGTTTCAGTCCAGCCCCTACTCCTTACTAGCTGTGTGGCCTCTGGCAAGTTCCCTGCAGTCTCTGGGCCTCAGTTTCCCGTGGGAAATGGGGATGGTGATGCTGACGGTGCTGTCCTGGGCACTGGGGTCCACTTACCCTTTAGCTGGGCACAGTGCTGGGGCCTGGGGAATCATCCTCATTTTAAAATTCTTTTAAAATCAAGAGAATAAGTGAGTACAGTAATAATGAATATGTAATAATGAGCACAGCTTGCTTTATATTTGTCTTTCTACCAACACAACTGTCAAATATAGATGTATTTTGACGCACACACACGTATATATAAAACATATATAAATATACATTTGCGTGTGTGTTTGAGAGAGAGAGAGGGAGACAGAGAGAGATGGAGAGGTGGGGGGGTCACAAAATCCATAGGAGCCCTTGAAAGTTCCTAGCACATCGTGGGTACTTGGGTCCCATTCCCAGAGCACCCATTCCAGGTGGGCAGTGTTCTCAGTTCTAGCACTGGGGCTGAGTGATCAGCTTCTGCCTCCAGAAGATCTGCCTGAGAGACAGCCTTGAAAACAGGCAGCTGCAGCACGACATGGGCAGGGGACACTGACGCAAACACGGCTCTCTGCCGCCCTTCCACCCTCAGTGGCAACCACTGTATGTCCAGGCCTCTTCTCCCCCTGCAGTTTCTTCCATCCCTCATCGATGGCCCCTCTAGGTTATGCCAGTCCCTGCCTTTCGATTTGTGCCACCGAATCTCCAGCGAAGAGCCCCATCTGTTGCTCTGGGTTGTTTAGACATCTTCTGCAGAGGGCCAGGGTGTCGGGGCATTTGTGGCTGGAAGCAGTCTTAATGGGTGAGTTCACTGCCGCCTATGGTGGGAACAGTGTCCTCGCAAACACTTCCACGAAAGCCGTTCTTCCTCCAGAGCCCCCCATTGGACCTGAAGTCTTTTGTCTCTCCTCTCTTCCTTCTTGCCCAACATTGGGGAGCAGCAGGACAGGGAGGCCAGGTATGAAGCTGGTTGGGTCTGAGTGGGCCTTGCAGGGAACAGTTGAAAGACATGGCATGGATGTGTTTTCTTTTTTCAGAACACCAGACATGAAAGGCCTCCTCACACTGGCTTGGTTCCTGGCTTACAGTAAGTGCTGGCTCTATGACCTCCATGGGAGGGATACTAGTGGGGAGGAGACCAACCCTTGAGGTCACAGAAATTGGCATTTGAGTCTCAGCCCTGTGCTTATCATGTAGACATAAACATCAGCAGAAGCCTTTGTCTCCCTGAGTCTTGGATTCTTCATCAGAGATAGGGTACTACTGTGGACAGGGATGGCTATGGCAGGTCCAGATGCTGTATGTCAGGGTGTAGAGGTTGTGAACATGAAGATAATGTAGATTGAAAATCTGAGGGGTTAATATTTTTCTGCAGTGCAAAACAAAATAAGGCCAAAGCAAAACAGTCACCTCAATATAGAGCGTAAGCTCTGTATCAAAGTATTCAGCTGCGATTCCCAGATTACTCTCTGCTCAGGCCTGTCCAGGCCTTCTACATACACTGCCCTTGGCAACTTCCCAGCTAGGCGGTGACTGTCCCCTGGCTTTGGGCTCCCCTGCTGCAGCCCCGAGACCCTGCACACAGCCTCTCTCCCCACCGACTGTCCTGCCCTCTGATGTCTTGCCAGATCTCTGGAGTCCCCAGGAGGAACCAGACACAGTGCAGGGAGAGAGCCTTGGGCCTACCGGGAAACCTCCAGCCTCAGAGAAAGCCTCAGTTTCCCAATTTGTAAGATGAGCAAACTGGTGTCAGCGATTAGTAAGGTTCTCACTCTGATCTAAGACTCTGTAACTTATATTCTAAAAGGTCTTAGGCAAGGGGAGAAAGGGGTATATTACTGGGAGGGACAGGAGCCTCCTGTCTCTCTGTCTGTTTCCCTGTGCATGACACTGAATATTTCTCTGTCTGTCCCGTACGACAGGCCTGCCACTGTGCTCAGAATCTATGTACTGTCTTACTTTAGCCCTCACGAAAACTTCAAGAAGTGAGCACTAACTTTGGACCCCTATTTCGGAGATGAAGAAACTGAGGCTCTGAGAGATTAAATGACCTATTCACCATGCTTCAGATTAGGGATAGGGCCAGGATTTGAACCTCATCTACTCCTTTTCCAAGTCTAAACCCTTAACTGCTTCTCTACACTGCTTACCCTTGCCTCCTCGCTCCCTTCCCACTGTTGGGAGAGTGGAAGAGGGTAAGGTAGAAGGGCAGCAGATTCTGAGAAGTGGGCCTGCCGCAGGACCCCCAGGGTCACCGAGGGACACGGGCTGTCTTGCAGGTGTGCCTGCCGTGCCAGGGGGCTTGCTAGAACTGAAGTCCATGATCGAGAAGGTGACTGGGAAGGATGCCCTGATGAGCTATGGTTTCTATGGCTGCTACTGTGGCTGGGGTGGCCGAGGGATCCCCATGGATGGCACGGATTGGTGAGCTGATTGTCATAATTACCTTTCCATGCTCCATGCTCTGCACCCACATCATCTCATCCAATTCCAGGTCTGGTCTAGGAGTATTAAAACACCATTTTATCCTTGAGAAAGCTGAGTCTCAGAGACGCTGACTTGCTCATGTATGCCAAGCAGTTCCCAAACAACCCCCAGATCTCCACACCTAATGAGTCACTTGATTTATTGCATCATAACAAATAGTACTGATATGGTGCTTTGAAACAGTCAGAGTCATTTATTTTGCTTATGGATTTGTTCCCTGGATGGGGTGTGGTGGGATGGTTGGTCTCTGCTCCGCTCAGTTTCAGCTGGGGATCTTGACTGGGGCCAGATGATCCACTTTTACACGGCTCACTTCCGCGGCTGCTGAGCTGTTGTCCCTGCACCCTGGCTGGAGGCCTCAGTTCCCTTCATTGCAGATTCTCCAAGGATATTTAGACTTCCTTACAGCATGGCAGCTGGTTCTAAGAGTGTATGTTCCCACACACTAAGACAAAAGAGAAAGGCGTTTTTATCATCAACCTCAGAAATTCCAGTGTGGCTTACCCTGTCCTCTTGGTTGAAACAAATATGGAGGTTTTAAAAAGGAGACCTAAAAAAAAAGGAGACCTAGGTTAATCAGTGGGTGCAAAGATACAATGAGGAAGGAAGATGTGGTTACCCTACTGCACATAGAGTGACCATAGTTCATAATGTAATAAATATTTCAAAAAACCTAGGTGAGATGAAGTTTAATGGTCTCACAACAAAGAAAGGATAAGTGTTTGAAGTGATAAAAAAATGCTAATTACCCTAATGTGATCATTGCATAATATATACATATATCAAAGTACAACTTTGTCTTCCCTAATCTGTACTATTACTATGTATCAGTCAAAAATAGAGAGAGGGAGGGGATCTAATTCCACCTCTTGACTGGGAAGTGTCAACAGTTCTAGAAGGACATGTGAGGTGGGAGATCCTTTACCCTGGAAAACAGCCTACTGAGTTAACAATTCTGATACTGCTAGATGTACATAATGCAAAGCAAGTGGCATAATTAAACAAGTGGATGGAAGGTGATTAGAGCCAGGTTTCTTGCTTCTGGAGAGGGATTTGCAGACAAGCAAATCTTGCATGACCCAGTGGATTTGCAGACATCAGCACGAACTCCCCTTTAGCTTAGTACAGTTATAGATGGCCGCATCCAGAAACAGAGAGAGAGATGTGTGTACACCCAGGTTAATATAAAGACAAGTATTTTGCCCTGGCTGTTGAGAGAGGCTAAAGGAAATGACATCCCTGTAGCAAAAAGCACATCCAATGCCTAGGTCTGGTCTCTAACGCTTTTCTTCAACCGAAAGAACCAAGGCTCCTTGCAGAAATGGCTTCGTCCAGGACTAGGGCAGGAATGTACAAAATGAAACTGGGACCTGTCATAGAGCCAAAAAGGAAGGAATTGCTCAGAAAAGCACAAAACCCCACATTGATAAGGGTATGTCATAGGCGCTAACTGGAAGAATTCCCAGTGGTCAACACTGGAACCATGTGAACAGCGCAATAAATAACTCATCATTCCACTCTTACCATGAAAGAAAAAAACATCAGCCAGAACCCCAAAGCCAGGCGTTTTACAAAACACTTCACCTGCATTCCTCCAAACAATGTCATCAAAAGCCAGTAAAGAGGAACCTAGCAGGCACGAGTGTGGTATTATTCAGGATAGGATTTTGGAGGGAAAAGGGGCATCAGATAAAAACTAAGGAAATGAAAGTAAACTATGGAAATTGTACTGTTAATGAAACAATAATGTATTATCACTTAGTTAATATATTGATATTTATTCATTAATTATAACAAATGTATTATATTGTTAACAGGTACAGGGGTACCCAGGGATCCTCCCAGGCTTTTGTTGTCTTGTTCAAAGAATTGGACAAGACAAGCAAAGAACATAGAAGAACATAGAGGTTCTACTTCTTTCTTTTTTTATTTTTTTTTATTTTTTGAGACAGGGTCTTGCTATGTGTTTAGGTTGGCCCCAAACTTATGGTGATCCTCCTGACTCAGCCTCCCAAGTGCTGGGATTACAAGCGTGTGCCACCACACCCAGCTTACATTTAGTAAAAGTAGAAGTAGAGACCTGAGCCAGTCTTTGGAGGGAAAAAGAAAGAAGACAGTGGCTTCATGGCTAAAGGCTGCCATCTTTTATGTCCCTATTCTGATGTCAGGTCTAGGCCGACCTCTCAAAAGCCTGCTTGATCTTGGGCCAGAAGAATTGAAAACAGCATTCTCTCCTTCATATCAAATGCAGGCTTAGAAGCTGTTCTGGCATATGTCCTGGTTATGATTGACAGGTCATGTTTGCCTGCACATCCGGTTTGCCACACCCTAATCTCCTGCCTTACTACTATTAATACAAGACGTTAACAATAAGGGAAACTGAGTGTTTCCCCTGTGTGATCTCATCTGTAAATTTTTTTTAAATGTAAATACAGCCTACCACTGTCACCATACTAGAGGGTAATATTTTTCTCGGATAAAAGTCCCATGAGGAAAGCTGATTGAGGGACATATTCTCCTCCCATGTTGTGACTCAGCCATCCACACTGACCCGGATCCTCTGTTGTGTCATCTCTATCCAGATGAAAGATGGAGAAAGGGAGGAAGTAGAAGACCAGTGGAAAGGTTTTGTGGTAGGCCTGGAAGCAGTGTACATGGCTTCTGCCTGGAGTGCCCTGACCACAGCCTAGTCACCCATACCTACCTGCAAGAGAGTCTGGAAAATGTAGTCTAATTCACGAGGAAAAAACGACAGTGGCAGCCCTAGTGAAGAAAGGATGGTACTGAGCCATATTACTAGCTTCTACCTCTGCCCACCCACACCCACTAAGGTGACCTCTGCTAAAAGGGCATGGTTTAATTTTTGCACCTGTTCAGAATGTCAACCTAAATAACAATCAGAGAGAGAGCATTTCCAAAAAAAATAATGACATTAATTTGGGGACAGCAGAACATTGCAATGAGAATGGAAGTGTTTTAGTAGACTGTGGGAATACTCAGGGAGTTGGAAGCAAGGAGATGGTTAGCATCCAAGGGAGAATATTTACATAATCTGCTTAGAGACAAAGCTCATTGGTCCTGGAGGCCTGAGGCAGGAGTTGGCACCAGCTCATTGGTGGAGGTGCTGTTGCTGGGCACCGTGGAGAGTATCTTGTCTGAACTGTCACAGTCTTAAAGAATGTTAAAGATACACTTTATTCCAGTAATCTATGGATACAGGCAAGCTGTGCAAAGCATGGGGTGCATGTAGGACAACAGTAAGTCCTCGTGGGGCTTTAAATAGTCCCTGAGACAGTGCTTATCTCAGGCAAGCAGACACCCCAGCTCCCACTGGCTACTTCCTGGCTCTAACTTTGTTTAGGCTTGACAAGAACAATTTCATCTTGGTATCCTTCACCGAGACAAGGGGTCTAGAAGGTGCCCCTCCCACTCAGGGCTCAAGTCCCCTTGTGTTGGCAGGTGCTGTTGGATGCACGACCATTGCTATGGGAAGCTGGAGAAGGAAGGCTGCAACATCCGATCACAGTCCTACACTTACAGAGTCACACGGGGCCTGGTCATCTGTGGTAAGACTGATCTTCCAGTTCAGACCTGCCTCTGAGGTCCGCTTCCTGTACCCCTTGGGGGTACTGGGGACAAAAGGGCCAGGACTGTCACAGCCATATCCGACCTTTGGGAAGGGGATGGCATATGTCAGACTGAGCACTCACCGGGTGCAAATGCTTTGCAGACTTCTTTTGCTTGCCCTACCCAAATAACTATGGTGTAGGTTTAGTCTTCCCCACTTCACACGTGGGGAAAACAGAGCTCAAAGCCTACCAGGGAGCAGCAAGATTTAAGCCCAGGTCATCTGAGTTCCAAGCTAAGCCTGGGGACAGCATCTTGTTTAAGAGAATTCATTCCTCCTGAGCTGAGGTCGTTTCCATTTTAAGGCTAGGAGCACCCCGGGGAGGGGGTCTGTTTCCTGCATCAGACTGGGAAGCTCCCTGAGGACAGGAATTGTGTGTCTTCCAAGACTAAGACCTCATCCTGAACAGCAGCCCTGCTGAGCCTCCTCTATCACATCAGGAATCCCCTCAGTTTAGGAGCTGCACCTTCTTCATCAGACTAGGAGCTGCGTAGTCCTGGAACTAGGTAGGGAGCCTGCACAGACTTGATGTCTGTCTGTCCTCAGACTTGACTTTGAGCACGTCAAGGCGGATGGAGGACATCCTTCTCATCTTCCTTCTACATTTTCTGTCCCTTTTGCAGAAATTGGGTCTTTGTGTCCAATGCAGCTCTGCTCCTGTGACCAGAAGCTTGCCTACTGCCTGAAGAGAAACCTGAGGAGCTACAACCCTCATTACCAGTATTTCCCCAACATCTTCTGTGGTTAGTCGCCCTCAGTGGGCACTCACACACACAGTGCCACCAGGGCAACTGGGACGGTCCTCTGGTACAGCACGGGGCTCCCACTCCATGGGGTGCTCGGACCTCATTCTTCCTCCGAGTTCCGTCGGGCTAGGAGGAGCCCCATGGCCACTCATAACTCTCTGAAGGATCCCAAGAGAGGAACTGGCCTAGGACTTGCCAAGGTCCCAGGGACTCTGGGACTCCACTTGTTTGGTCAGCCCCTCAGGAGCCAGGGACGCAATTCATTTTCAGTTTCAGCAGTGAGATTATCACCACTACCCTCCAGGGACTTTTCGCTCAAGTAGAAGCAAAATTGACTCCGTAAATCTGTCATATAGATATTAAATAAAATTCATTCTCAAGGCAAATAAAAACCACACAGCCAGTTTCTCTGCTGTGGGGGTTTGCCGTCAGACCCTAAGCCCAACATTAATTGTGTTCACTCAGAGTACCAGAGGGAGAATTTGAGGGATGAGTTTCAGGCCTTCTCTTGGGCTCATTTCCTTGAACCTGGGGCCCTCCCAGCCAAGCACTGGGTCTCACCCTTCCTCAGGAAGATGCGGGGAAGGTAGCTGGAAGTCCTACCAACTTGGGCTTCTAGGCCAGAGAGGACAGCATCAAATCCCAGATGGCTTCTCCCATAGTGTGGTCTCGGCTCCATCCCTGAACGTCTCTGACTTTCAATCTCTTTGAAAAAGCAATCACTGTTCCTTGCAAGGTAAAATGAGACTCCTAACACCCACTTTGATGTGGATACGGGGGATGCTGAGGTCCTGGGATTTCATTGTACAAGATTTTTTTTAAAACTATGGTTCAACTATGGTGTTTATTTTTACTGAGTAAGGACACTTAGATACCCAACTCATCTATCAATTTACAAAAGAAAGGGCGTTCTGATACCAAGACTACAGCCAGAAAGGTCATATTCCAAAACAAAAGAGAATCCTTTCCAAGAAAAGATGTTTGGCTTCTTTACACTGACATACCTAAAAATAACCCCATGATAAATGGGATCTATACTTAAAAGTCTTCAGTGTCGAACATTTTCTGAGTAAAATTTAATTACGAGATTACGCTGAATATACTAGAGTTTTGATGTAGACTCGGTGCTATGCTTAACACCGCAACATAGGATGAAGCTCAAATGCCCAATTTGCTCATGGAATTTTTAAAAATCAAAGCCATTTCCCAGATCCAGTTTTGAGTGCCAGTTTTTCTCCAATTGCAACATCCTGAGTGATGGGAAAAGGCTCCAGGGGAAATTTCTCCCTTCTCCCATCAGGGTCCAGTGTCAGGCAGGATGGGGTGTTGCTGGTAAGTTCTGCAGGAGGGGGCTGTGGACCTGCCCAGTCACCAGGGATCCCAGCTCAGAGCCCGTATCCAAGCAGCTTAGACCAGCAGGGGATGCTGTGAGGTTACGAAAGCAACATCACAGTCTGACTAATAAAAACACATAGGTGTGGTTGAGTTTGAAGGGCCGTGGGGAACCTTTATTTATCTAGTAAGTAATTGGGGGCCAGAGGAATGAGGAGATGTTCCCAAAGTCACACAGCACATCAACAGGAGACGTCAGATTAGACTTCAGTTCCTGGCTGTACTAAGCCATGGGCTCTGCCCATTCACCCACACTGTGTTCAAGAAAATGAAAGTTCAGGGGCTTACCCACCTTGGGCATTCTCTCTGGATTCCAGCTGAGATACAGCTTCATTTCTCCTCTGCCCTAACTCCCTGTTTGGATCCCAGAGGCCTCCCTGGGTAGTCCGTCTGTACGGGGCTCTAGGCTATATCCTCCCTGGAGGAAACCTCAGAGAACCCATCCTCACTGCTGTGAACAGCACCTCCAGGGAAACACTGCTGGCCTGTCTGATTCATCTATCCCCGGCCAGTAGGAGCACATCAGAGACACCGTCCCTCCTAACATTGCATGGCTCCTCTTAAGAGAGACACTGTGAACGGTGCAAAGCAGCCTGCATGTGCTTTCCTACACAGATCTTTGTATAAAAGCTTGCAGAGAACACAAGCACACTCTCTGTGGACAGCCTGCCTTGTAACTATAGGTTCTTTGCTTGTGTCTGAACTGGGTTTCAGATTTAAATGTGATTCTGTGGCTTGTGTAACATGACCTGTGCAAACTTAGGTATATCAGTGGGGGTGCAGGGTGCTCACAACTGTCCCTAAGCTGAAAAGGAGTCAAACAGGAAGCCTGCTGGTGGAGCTAGGGGAGGGAGAACAGAACTAAGGCAAGCTGATGTGGTAGCAGGTGTTCTGGTCCCTCCTCTATGCCCTGCACTATCTACATGTCACCAGCTGTCCTTTGAGGCAGGTGTCCTCATCCGCACAGCAGAAGCTGAGGGAAGCTCAGGGAGCTAAAGTGCTTTGCTTGAGGCCACGTAGGTAATAAGGAAAACAGGTTGGAAGGAAGCAGCAGGCTGCCTGATTTCAAAGCTGTGTTCCTAGCTCCCTTCTCCCATCAGGGGGACAGATGGCATCACACGAGGAAGCTGGGAACCTGGGCCAGGTCTTGAGACAGAGACTGAGGAAAAACACATTTGTTTTGTTCACAATGGGTGTGGTGAGTTCCGATGGTGTAACTAGCTTGAGCTCCATTTCCCAGAATTCCTTTCTCTGCAAAGTTCTGGGTTATTGGGACCAGGGAGGTGTGTGTACAAGAGTGGGAAGGCAGAAAGGAAGTACAGCTGGTTTTTTTGCACTTGGAAGGTCAGAGCCAGGCAGATCTGTTTGCAGCTGAGACATGCTGTCACAGGCTGGCTTGCCTTGCCAGTGTGAGCCTGCTGGGTCTCTTCCTTTGGCTTTTCTGAATGGTGGGCCAGGTGTGCATTTGCTCCGTAGGTGAGAGAGTGAGCCAGCTTCTCCATGTAGTGTGGAACAGCCATGCTGGGAGCAGAAGCTGTGGAAGCTCACGTGACTTTGTCCATCCTCTGGGTACCACCATGTTTGCAGGTTCCCCTTTGTCCTTGCTCCCTACCCTTCACATCCACTTTCCCTTCCCAACTGTCTGCCCTGCTAACTTCAGGCTGTAGAGAAAGAACTTCATATGTGTTAAGGCAGCTCTCCCACCTGTCAGACCTCAACCCTTACATCAGTGTGTCACAAAAGACAGGGCTCCTACCTCTGCCTGAGTCCCCTGATGACACGGGATTTGTATTGAGTCTTTTTTTTTTTTTTTTTTTGGTACTGGAAATCAAACTCATGACCTCACACTTGCCAGGCAGGTGCTATGCCCCTGGGCTGTATCCCCAGCCCTAGGATTTGTATTGAATGCGGTTCCAAGGAACAGAGACTGATGCATCCCTCTGAGTGAACTGGGCTTGCTTTCTTATCTGATTAAAGGCCTCAATGACGGGTTTTTAGTGATAAATTGGATGATGACTGTCTGTGGGCTGCAGGGATAAAACAGTTACCTCACCCATCACCTACACACACCCCTACACGAGGGCTTTGCCTCAGCTGGCTCTGGGTGACCAGGCAGTTGATGCCATAAAGCATTTCAGTGTAAATAGGAAGTACTAAGGGGTTGGAGGACTTAGAAGAAGAAAACAATGAGCTCAAGGCTTTCAATTCTCACTTAGGACCTGCCTAAGGGACACGAACGCTTCCTTGCTTGCCTGGGCAGGTGATGGGAGCTGATAGAGGAAGACCGTGGAGGAATGCTCTCGGTCAAGATGTGTGGCAGTGTGGGCCTGTAATCCCAGTACTTGGGAGACTGAGGCAAGAGCACCAAGCGCTCCAGGCCAGCTGGTCTTAGTTAGCCAATTAATTAATTAGTCAGTCAACTAATTAATTAATCGATCAACTAATTAATTAATTAAGCTTCCAATCATAGCGGCTGCTCCAGAAGTGGTTTTGCTGTTAGAGCAAATCAACACATTCCCTTGTCCCCTGCTTTGTGACTGCTCACCCGCAGAATGACTTGTTGTCTATGGCAGTTAGTCAAACCATCAGAAGCCCTTGCTTTCAGCTTCTGGGACCTGAGACCTTCCTCCTCTTCCCTGTTTCCCAATGATATCAGCTCTCCAACCTGATCACGATCCAGTCCACAGGGACCTCGATCGTCTCTCCACCCACAGGACATCACATCTCCCAAAGTACAGGGGCCTGCTGCCTCCATAGCATTTCTACGGGGCCTGGGGCCTGGGGGATGTTGAGATGCTTCTTGCAAAAGGAAGCACAGGAACCAGCATCTGGCCTTTCCCTTCACTCTCTGGGACACACAATGAACACCCTGTGTGCCCTTTGCATTTCAGAGACTTGTGGCTCGTTTGGTTGTATTGCTGAAACTTAGATCTGAATGACTGCCGGGTGAATGGGGTCCAGGCTCTGCAACAGATGACACACAAACTTCTCTGCCACTTGGGCCGTGTGACCCAGGAGATCCAATGATGGTTCAAATGTGTACAACTAGAGACACCCTGTGGGAGCCTTGCCAGGCCTCTGGCTCACACACAGGAGGCAGACTCTAGGGATTTGGGAGCAAACTATGTAGTCAGCTGCAGAGAGCTAGTGCCTTTTCAGAAACATATCTGGCTTGGTGATTGGCTTTAAAACAGAGAACTGGGTGATCAAGTTATGATGGGATTTGTGTTGCTTATCATGAAGTGGGTGTTCATTGTCTGCCCCACTACAGTATAAATTCGGGTCAGTATAGCAGCAGTTCCATCACCAAATGGATCCGAGATTGAACTGGAACAGCTCCTGAAGGTACAAGACATTTGTGCGAACATGGAGCCCAGATGCCATGGGCCCTACACCTGCCGTGTTGCTTCCTCCTCCTCCTTAACCTGTACATATGACTTCATGGGCAAGTTCCCTGTGACCAATTAACTGGGTAAAATGGTCTGGGCTTGTCTTACAGACATATGCTGGCACTCCCCGCAAGTGAATGGCTGTAGTACTGTAGTCCCAACCTCTGGGGTGACCCAACTTTTTGCATAAAGTGAGTTAATGTAGTTAATCTTATATCACACAGCTTCAACTAGAAGTTATCGAAAGGTGACTGTGATGATTATAATCACATTAGAATAGAAATGAACATCACTTAATGATGGATGAAGGGACTGTCTGTCCTCATAGCCATGGTGTTTCTGATTGTGTAAGGAATAACCGCCTCCTGCTGGGCAGAAAGATGATCTTGCTACTTATTTGGAAGTTACCATTGAAAAAGTATACAGGGATGTCGAGTCCACAGAGGTAGAGCCTTGTGGATTTGTGTCATGTCACTTAGCTAAGCTGAAACTACATTTCCTGGAATTCCCATTCCTGCACTGTTCTAGGGTTAGTACGGGTCTCAAGGGGGGCTTTGAGGAAGTGACAGAAGCGGATGAAGAGCTGCATGAAGTTGCAGCTGAGACATGCTGGCCTTACCTACTGCTGGACAATTCAGCCAGTCTGGGAGTTTGATTGCTCTAGGACAGTCTGGACCAGGGCTGGGCTCACTCTTTGGCCTCCCTGTCACTGGTGAAGAGTGGGCATTTCCTCAGACACCATGTTAGGTGGCATCTTCAAGGGGTGGAGGGTCATTAGCCCATTAGAAAGACCCATTCTGCTCTCACCCTGACCCAGTGGCAAGACCTTTCCAGGATGATGCTAGGGTCTCTTTTTCTGCTGGAAATATAGTTTCCCACAGTTATCCAGGAAGTTGTCTTTGGGAAGAGCTTGCTATTATCAGTCAAATGTTCTTTAGCCATGTTCTGTTTCATGAACTCCTTTCTCTAAGACCTGCAATGGCTCCCCATTGTCAAGTTCCTCGGCCTGACCTTTCAGGTCTTTCCCTAGTGGCTACATTGTCCTTCCAGTCTGATCTCCAAATTATTCTCTACCTCCAAATCCATCCACTCCGCGGATCTTGCCCTCTTTCCTCCTTTCTACTTTTTCATTCACACTCTTTCTTCCCCTCTGGAAGATTTATCCCATATTTCTACCTGGGAATTGCATTTTGATATCAATAACAACAGTAACAACACTAATAATAAAAGATGACCACTTACTGATCTTCTACTATATGCCAACAGGTCCACTCTGTGAGGGCTGAGTCATGAGGGTAACCAGGGCATCTCAGGTGCCTTCTGAAACACTCCCCTCCCAGAAGTATAGAATGAGGATCCTCTCTAGCTGCAGGTAAAGCACAATGTCTAGTACCCCAAATCGTACAAATGTGTCAAACACACAGATAGGTTCACATCCCACTCATCAGTTTTGTGTAACTCCAAGTACTGAGAACCCGGGATCTAGTTGTAACCTTGCACACACGATGACCTTAGGCAGGACCCTTACCTTTCCTGAATCTCAGCATTTCCATTTTGACAAGAGCAGGTATGACAGATAATTTAAAAACAGTAGTCCTGGTCCATGAGTGAGTCATGACATCCGTGTAGAGGGTGGTATCCAGTATGTGTGTGTGCATGTGGATACGTGTGTATAACAGATCACAAACATTAAATTGTGGCTTCAGCAATCTGTGCTTCTCTGGCAGCTGTGTATGTGTGAGTCACTGGGTCCAGGTGTAAATTTCATTACATTCTTTGGGTAACCATTAAAGGGTTTAAGAAACCCTTGTCCCGGTGACCTCTAGGCCCTTCTGGCTCTGAGGTAGCAGGTGTATGAGTGGCTGCCGTATCTTAATCTTGATTA